AGATTTACAAAAGGAATTGCAGTAGTGATGGAAACAAAGTGAGCAATAATAGAAACGACATGAGGAAGAGATGACTCTCTTCAAGAAGCATAATTATGAGTTATGACAAATGATTGAGCAGTCGTAGACTATAGTATCTTTACTCCCAGTAGCGACTCCACCTAACAACTAAGTTCATCTTAATATTTAGCTGATTTTGTTTTCCCTTCTAAAATGTTGGCAACTAAGATGTCAGTCTTTAAGGGAGCTCGAATTCCCAAAGCATGGGGATCGGTTGAGTCGAATTCGGGTATTCGGCCTAGTCCGAAGTGGCAACTAAGAAGGAAGGCATGCCTAATCAATACTCAACTTTTGGATATTGTGGGTTTAGGGTTTAGGGTTTAGGGTCACATCTCTTTGAATCGTTAGATCTTTTCATCGTCAACTATGGCAATGGACATGACTTTTCACGTTCCTAAGAAAGTTTCACGCTTATGCTTAACTTCTAGGACTTTCCAAGGGTTTTTGACATACCATCATTGGACTTTACCTTACCACTAAAATGATGGTGTATACGAAAGGCGAAAATTGCAAAATTTTACCTTACCACTAAAATGATGGTGTATACGAAAGGCGAAAATTGCAAAATTTTTAGGCGAGAAAACAAACTTTTTGGTGACCAACAATGCATTAAACTTTTTTCCCCAAGAGTAAAAAACTTGGGGCTTATGTATCGGATGTCACAGAAATATATGAGAAAGTTCTCAACTTTATTCCTTCCTTACATACCTTTTACTAATCATTGATAGTTGTAAGAACCAAAACAATTATAATAGTAGTCATTTTTTTAGCAACTAGCGAAAAGTCTCAAAATAACATTTAAGATGACGAAGAAAAAAATTTAGGTCTAAATTATCGACAATAGGAAGAGAAGATTAATTAGAGCATTAATAAAATATTAAAAAGTAGATTAGGTCTTTATTAACCATTTTGCATAAGAAAATAATTCAAAATTCTAAGTTGACACAAAAAATTCACTATTATGTCATGTTTGTTATACAATTTCATTCCTCTATCCATTTTTCACACGTCATACATCAAACTCATGCAACACTGAATTGAAACTCTTGTGCAACACAAAAACAAAACACCAAAAACTCAATTTCACAATTGAAGTTAATGTTTCCCTATAAAATAAAGCGTAAAAGAGAGGAAGAAAGAATACTATCTTCCATTTTCTATGAAGATGAGAAAAGGACAATAGATAGTGAACCATTGAATATGTTAAATTAGAATTAGTAGAGATTTTAATGATGAGAAAAATGTAATAGAAGATAGAATTATAGAGAAATTGATACATTAACAAATGTGATGTGTGACAAAAATTAATAGAATAATATTGTGGTAGTGTATCATAGATGAATAAAGCAATGTGGTAACATATGGTTTTGTAGTTTAGAATTTATTAATTATAAATATATAAATACAAATCTATCAATTAAATTATACTTTTGGTTCCTATATTTATTTTTAAGATTCAGTTTCCTTCTACTATTTTTAAATGATTCAATTTGGTCATTTAATTTTTTTTAAAAATTTTAATGTTGTCATTTTATTCACATTGATATTAATAGCATTCTTGAAATAAGATGAAAGAGAATCATTGAACTTTTTGTTAATTAAAGAAGCAAATTGAATCATTTTGAAATAATATGATCAAATTCAACATTTTGAAAATAGAAGGACCAAATTGAATAAAACTCTATCTAATTCTAAACATTCATTTTAATATTTCACATAGGTATTAATTAATTTTTTTAATTATTATTCAATTAAGTCCTACTATTTTTAAAATGTTCAATTTAGTTCTCTAATTTTCTTTAAAATGTTCAATATTATCCTTTATCTAATTTCATTAACACCATAATTAAGAATCAATTTGGATGGGGAAACATTGGGCATTTTGTAAAAATTAAAAGATCAAATTGTACTCTTTAAAAATAGTGAGACTAAATTGAATCTTAATATAAATAAAGGGAGAAAAATATACTTTAGCTAATATTTGTCCAAAACTCACTACTACAAGACACGCTATCTACATCGGTTCTTTAACATCATTTACATCGATTTTAGAACCGATGTAGAAGAGAGTGACGTAATAAATATATACAATTTTACATCGGTTTTAAAACCGATGTAGAATAGTCATAAATTTACATCGGTTCTTCTTATAACCGATGTAAATTTGTATGCAAATCTACATCGGTTCTTATTATAACCGATGTAAATCTATATGCAACAAAGAAAATAATTATTAGATCTGCATTTCAGCCACAAAGATCAATTGAACTTGAACCAGTTCTTGATAAACGTGTACGTACGCTGTCATCCGCTATTCTTTAGATTTTAAATAGTGACTATTATTATTATTATTATTATTTTCCTAAATTCTTATTCTCTGGCTGTTTTGGCGGTGGTATCAAAAAAGTTATACAATTCCAACTTTTATGCCACTTTGCGAATTTCTTTTATTAGGTTAGGATTAACCCAAATTTATTCACATTCTTTATACATGTAACAAATATATGGTAGAGTACTTTTTTTTTCCTGTTGAAATAAACGATGGTGCATCATTAAACCATATTTACTCTAGTATTCTATGAAGAAAACACATACTCATGTTCATATCAACTGTTTCTAGAAACGTCAAAACACTAGTCCGGTGCGTAAATTAGAGCAATGCTATAAGCTATTTAATAATTTTGACCTCATAGCTCATCTGAGTTCCTAATAACAAACTGAAGGGTCAAAATTAGCATACTTCGCCAACATTTCTTTTTTATATTATAAGAGAATTTATTTCAATCAAATAAAGTTTGTTTTTGAGTCCAAGGCTCCATTACACTATAGCACACTATTGATAACCTTGTGTCACAATGTGCCTATGCAACTAAGGGTTATCTAACAAGAAGTCAAACTCCAACAAGTCAAAGTTAAAATGCACAAAAGTTCAAAATATCGGGTATTCAATATTTTTCCATGTTCAGAAGTTTGGAATAAAAGGGGAACAGGCACAACAAAGGAGAGATAAATAAGGAGAAACAACAGATTACACAAGCAAAAAATAGACAAAAGGATTCATTCGCCGTTGTATATCCAAAATTAGCTAAATGCATCAAAACATCCATAAAAATCCAAACAATGGGAAGCATCAAAAATGATTCAAAACATTCTTGGAAAAGTAAATAAATACCATAAATTGGTTCAAGTTACAAACCATACATGGTGATATATATAACAAAGGCATTATGGCATGAATCTTAGGTTGGCAGCTTCACCCCAATCTCACTTTATAAACTTAATTAAAACAGCTAAAAAAAAAATTTCTTGTGGATCTGCTTGCAAGCACTATATATCCTATCTAATTATAATTTAATTTTAATTATAGTAATAATTGGAAGTTTAATTTAATATTTAAAAATAAAATACTTTTATATTCTTAACTTATTCTTAATTTTACTTTTTATGCATTTATTTATAGTTCATATTTAATATAACAATCACTTAAAATAATTAAGGGTGTTTTTGAAATAAAATTTGAATTTATTTAGAATTAATTAAAAACAATTAATTTAATTACTTTTCTTGATTTTGATGATTTATTTTACATTGTTTATAATTATGATTGGAAGTAGTATAAAATAATTTATTTTAATTAAAGCAACTTGTTTATATTAAAATGTAGTGTTCACATAAAACTTAAGCAAAAAATTAAATAGAATTGACAATTTGCCTCACTTATCGATGGCGATACGGACAATTTATATGCTATTGATTGGAGAAGGTTCCGTGAAGGGTACAACGTAGGCGCGGGGTTTGCGGGTTTTCAAGCGGAAAAGGGTGCTAAGGATGCACAAGTTTCTTACGGTGTGGGCGCGCATCTAAGATCCGCAACGAGGTTGAAAAAGAGTTTGTTTGTTTGGTACTTATTCGAATGAATGCGTTTTGTGTTAAATGGAAGAGGGTGTAACGGAAGATGAAGTGAAGATGCAGCAGCAATGGCGCAACAGAAGGGATGGAATTTGAAGGATGGACGAAACCCTAGCACAGAGACAGAGAATGTGTGAAGAAGCTAAAGGGATTCCACGCGGGGTAGGAAATTTGGGTCTATACTACATCGGTTATTTTGAAAACCGATGTAGATTTACTTGTAAATATTTACAAAATTGCCACTGCGCATTTAAATCTACATAGGTCCAATTAAAAACGATGTAAAATGCTCAATAATTACATCGGTTTTGTACATAACCTATGTAAATCTGCTTTTCATTCAACTCATATTTACGAATATGCCACCGCATTCAATTTTTACATCGGTTCTACCTAAACCGATGTAAAATTGGCGATGTTAAATAATAATTTTCTAGTAGTGACTTTTTCATTGTTATATAATTGATTTTAAATATGACATGGAAAGAAGATAAGATGGAATGCCTCATAAAAGAAAGAAAGAAAATACTCATATCTAAAATGGCTAATTTTCATCGAAATGATCTAAATTTTACCATATTCTACTCATGACTATGTAATATTAGTTAACACATTTTTCGTTCGATGGTCGATTCATTTAGGAATCATAGGAACTTACTAAAAACTTCTTTATTTTCTTCTCTACCTTGAAATGGAAGCCAGAACATGTTAACTCCCAATCATTTCATCTCTTTACATACCTATGACATCCATAAGAAAAAAAAACCAAATTAGTGTTTCTAAATAAGTATCATAAAAGCAGTATGACCAATCTAAAAAACTATTTTTTTTTCTTTAGGAAGATCTAACATTATTCTATTAGTTTCAATTTTGCTACGTCCTTTTAAAAATCAAAATTATATATGACATCAATTAAGCATTCACAATTTTAAAATAGATTAAAATGTTATGAGAAAAAAATCATCAAGAAAAAAATTTGATTGTGACATTTATATGTTTATATTTTCACTAAAGCAAAAAGTGGTGAGGTAACAAAACAAGTCGAAGCAAATAACATACAACAAATCTTAAAGATGGAACTTACTCAATAAAAAGATGGAGAAAGAGGACGGGAAAAAATAATTTGATTGAAATTGACAACAATTCTAAACAAGCACTACAAATAGTGTTATGATTCAAATCATATGCATTTACATCATCTTCAAAGCTTGAATCTTCTTGAAGAAACCCTTCAACACTTGACACTATTACAGTGATTACCACAAGCATCACTAAATTAACATCCATTTCCTCATCATCTTCAATGTTCAACCCTAAAGTATTTTTTCCCTCTCTTGAATTCATAAGATATCTCCTAAACACTTTCCCCAAGAATTCTACCAAAAATTGTTTGGTTTCCAGTAATTCAGGTGACTCGTCTATAACATACCAAAGTTTATCTAAATGTTTGATCATCATAGCAAGCACCCTATAGGTTTCATCCAATTCAAAATTTCTTATTTGCTCTTCCTCACTAATTTCGTGAAGACTTCGAACTAAAGAAGAGTTGGGATCATGACTCATGAATTGGATATCCTCCATGTTAGTCTCATGCTTGTACACATAAACTCCCCATGAACATAGACTTAGCTCTGTTTCACAATGAACCTCTATGGTCTTCCAATCATTACCTACATCCCACACCTCTAAACTTAGCAAAACTTGTAGGTTGCACAAGAACACATGATTCTCACCCATAGCAAAAGCATGACACTGTCTTCGTTCACCCTCAATGAATAAGTTCATGCCAATAGCTCGCCACTCAATCGGCAATGTCTTTTTAGCCTTGGCATCCATTTCTCCAAACACAAATGCTAAAGCAATTGCAGGAAACTTCCCACGAGCCTTAAAAATTAGAAAGCTTCCCTTGCTAACATAATCAAACCATTCTGGAATCTTTCTTTTTGGCATCATCACTTCTAATCTCCTCGTCTCTTTACGCACCTATCACACATCCCACAACACAAGAAGCAAAAAGTTACAACAATTCATTATAAACTATGCATGTTGTATTATTATATTTTTTTTTTCTCTAGTTAACAATGAAATAAAATGGGAAGAAGGAATGGAATGAAATTGTGAAATTACAATGAAAAATAATTCTTGATAACTATTTATCAATTTTTTCAATTAAAGAATATTTGTTCGTTATGAATATATATATATATATATATA